GATGGAAGGTGGAAGGAAAAAGTATTTTCGATTAAACTTTGAAATTTTTTGTCATTTTAATTGTCAGAACAATAGGCTGATGAATGTGACTCTGGTGCAGGAAAACTTCTTAAGTGAGTTTACTTTGCAGTCTAATTTATTTCTTTAAGATTTAGAATTCAGATTATTTTATCTAAATTAAATCAATTACCATCCCAACTGTAGTTAGTTAAATAATATATATTAGCTGTTATAGGTTATATCTTATTTGAGACTCCTCAAATCTATATGCCATCGTCAAAAGAGAGGTAACGCTAAAGCATGTTGGGATAAAATTCATTCACCTAGCTCTTCTTGATGTTGATAATAATGACTTCTGACTTCTGACAATCTCTTTTGATACACTAAGATCAAGACTTGCAATGAAACATGTTTCGTCTATTGACCTTTACAATAATTGGTACGTTACAAAGTTGATTACGCTTACAAAATCTAGTTGCACGCGCTTAAATCATCGTGCGTGCGCTAACACTTATTACTCGAATAAAGTAAACTTTGTAAGACTACATGCAAAAAACAACAAAGTTACAAAAGTTCAATGCTTGCTCGTGGTATCTGTACAGTATTCAACTCATTTTCATCATTCATTGATATTAGTCCATCTCGCTTATATCCGGTACAGCTTCTGAGATTTGCCTCAACATAGGGTCCCCGTTGAACGTCCCTGTGATGTTCATCTCGAAGTCGTGTAGTACTACATTCACCCCTTCCCTCTTCTCAACCTAAACCTTTAAATCCAAGATGGGGATCTTCTTATCTATCCACTTCAACCTTTATTGACTGATGTATTGTGTCTCCTAAGAATTTTACCACGCCCATACCTCTCTCGTCGCTAGCCTGTTCCTCACCACCAGCACTTTCTCTGGACGGAAGCACGTTCTCCTTGGGTACATCCATAATGATATTTATATCATCTACATAACGTCTGTAGATGTGCATTTCAGTATTTGCAGTCCGTAATTACTTGATATCTTCCTGAACTGCCTATACCACCACACCATAATTATCTGGGAGAGGACCCAAGTGAATTCTAGACCTATTGGACTTCCCTCTGATGATATATAGTCTTATTAAATGTATACACACAATTCTTCGTGATAAACAAGAGATCGACTCTTAGAGCTGTTACTAGCATTTTAGGTATTGTGTTATCATCTGGTTTAGAACGTGCATAGTTCCACACAGAGAATCGTTTGTTCTTCTCATCATCTAAAGCACAACCCGTAATAGCCGGTCGTCTCCCGTATTTAAAACTTCTGTTCCCTCAAATACTGTTCATCATAATTAAGTGAAAGCCGTTACAAACATAACTCATTTGGATCCACGTAATTTACCTCCACTTGACTACCGTAGAGCACTTCACATAATTTATCAACGGTAAAATCAATTTCAAGGCTTGGGTAGAGAGCTTTTACATACGCAGATCCTACCATTACTTCTTCCTTCCAAACGCTGACTGTTAACATGTGCAATGCCAGCAATTTGAGCTCTTCCGGTTCCTTTCTCCACACATCCTGAAGCAACAAACTCATATGCGATAGAGGTCCATTATATGACACAAAAGCGCCACAAACTGGTCTCATCGGGTGTCCAACGTCGGGATCACTTAAAAAAAAAATCATCATAATTCAGGATAACTAAACAAAATTCATTTGATCTAACCCTTGAAAAAAGGAAAGATTGTTAGTGAGTAATATTCTAGCAGGAAGTTGATCTCAGAATCTCAATGATTTTTGCAATTTATAAAGTCAGGAAGTCTGCCGGAAAAAATCTACTCTCGCCGTCTCGCAAAATTTTAAGGAATGCAACTAAATATACTACAGTTTACTAGTTACTTCATTCTCTCTTTATAGGTGATTCTGAAAGCGAGTTGGAACGCAAGCTCCTTGAACTGGCAGCGCAAGAAGAAAATACTGAAGAATGGCGTAGAAAGTTCAGAGAAATGGTAAGTGTTCTGATGATTACGTGACACCGGAGTGCACTGACATTCGAGACATCGATTTCCCAATGGCATTGATAAATCTTGGAATTTTGTAGTCCAAGCAGTTGGCTGAAACCATGGCAAACCAGGACAAGAATGATGAACAATTCAATAACCAGTCATTAACTGATCTCCAAGATGCAGGTAATGTTTGCATCTCAAAAATTTGAAATTATATTCAATGACAAACTATGATGGAATAGTTTTGACTTTTTAAACACGCAGCTCCTAAAGACAAACTCATTACTGCAGTCCGAACCAAGCTAACAGCATTCAGCGGTCCACTGTCATCTCGTGCTTCAGATTCTTTATCGAGTTTAGATACAAAATGGTACAGTCTCTCCGATGATAGCAAGCAAGGAGCCCTAGACACATTAGGGGTTATATCCTCGAACATTGAGGTATTTGGAAATGCTGAAGAAGACCCAGTAGGTGCAATAAGGGGAGCGATTGACATCGTTGCCTCCATAGCCAGTAACTTTGGACCAAAAGGTCAGCTTGCAAGTGTGGCTCTAGGCTTTGTCTCTGCTCTACTTGGCTTATTTGGTAAAGGACCGAAACCGAAGCCTTTGGCTCAAGTTGTCAGAGAGCAGATAGATGAGGCTCTGGCGGAATATCGCGAGGAGGAACTAGTTAGAAGAAAAGATGGTTTGATATCAGCATTTCAACTCACTAAAGCGTACTTAGACGGAGCTTCAGAGTCGGGTAAACCCTTAAGTACAGAGGAAGTGCCTGTGGCAACAAATGAAATGGAAAGATCACAAGGTGTGGCGTTTATGGGAGAACTTGCCAGTGAAGTACGTAAGATGTTCCGCGATAACAAAGTAGCGGATTCAAGAAAAGCCATTAGATATTGTGAGATGTACGCACAGCTAGCGGTATTCCGTGACATCATCCTAACACAGTATATTGCCATGTTACCGACCACTGAAACTTGGGAAAATCACCTCAATGGTGTAATATCYGATCGAGCGTTGTTTAGAAGATTATCAGCAGTGTTACTCGACAAGCTCTACACAGTAGACTACGATAGCAACATAATACCATATTTTGATCCAGATGTCAGCGTTATAACGGACTCTTTCTCGACTAAGATGTTAAATTTGGGTAAATACGATCGTTCTTTGGCTGGCCTGCACTGCCTTATGACCCCAGGGAGCAGTGGCCTAGAAGATCTTGATTGGCAAAGAGAGGATTCAGATTTCAAACCTAGTGGTAATCCTTACACCACAATTGTGAAGCCAAACAACAAMAATTGTTATTGGAAGCTTGTGCCACATGGAAGTTACACGTACAGCATTRTAAATAAATACAAATGCAAAGACAAGTACGACTAYTGTGGCTCTTTGCTRTCATGGACAAMAGTTGRTGAYAARGCCTATGTKGACATCKCCTCGGRTGACCCCGTCTTGTGGGAAATTTGGGGCTATGACTGGAGATAGTAAGTTCTATTATTCTCTTACAAGCACTCGACTTTTCATTGAAGAGAGGTAGAAAAYCGGAGAGCTTACAATAATGAATACTTTTTTTGACAAAACAATAAGCTATATGGTTTTCGTAATCAAGGATAATGCAAATAAACATGTCAATTGCAGGTTCCTTGAACTTGTGTTTATATGAGATAAGATAGATATGTTATAGATACGTTATAGATATGGATCTTCCAAAAAATTACGTTTTTTTTTTTCGTTTGCCCTTTGTTTCAAGTTAAAGTCTTCTAAGGGATATAGGTTTGTAAGGTTTCTGGAAAAATAATAATTCTAATTTTTGTAATTACATTTTTTTCTATTTTAAAGTATTCGAAACAAACAGGGTTGTGGCAAGACAAAAAGTAAATGGTGCAACTACGACTTCAGGATGGACACAAGAACAGTTTATAAAATGGGTGGTTTATATAGTCCTCCGTACCCAGTTAGTAAAAAAGTTGGACAGCTATTGCCTTCAAATGGCAAATACTACTGGAAGACTAGAAGGGTAGGAATCTTATATATTACAAAGTTACGCGTGTGATGTGACGCCTTCTGTTGAGAAGAACCCTTACATTATATTTACGTCAAATTTACAACCTTTTAAGCGCGCATTTTTTTTCCAGTGGCTTCGTATACAAAACGCAAGCGATAGTGGCTTTTTCAAACTGAACGAGCTCCTTTATCCATACCAAGACGTCTTTTTCTTGTTTTGTATCTAGTGATGCAATTTCTTCCATCTCCAATCAAGATCACGAGGGGATCCCGGGAGCGAGTACGAATGACGGCTACTCTGTAAATCGTTTTGCTTAATTGAATCATTTGATCTCTGGATCTTTACAAGAGGGATTATTGTTATACGTACAGTGATTTATTCGACATTATAATGAATATATATCCGTTCGAAAAATTAAGAGAGAAACATTTACTTTTGAAGCAAAACCTCCGCAATTTCTTAGTGTCGTAAAGTATCCTGGCTAGCAAAAGCTGGAAGTGAAAAGCTGTTTTAATTTTCGCTGAGTTTTAAATGTTGCAGAGCGTGTTCCAAGAGCGATTTGCATTGTTTCTATTAGATTCCACGCAAGTGGAGYTACAAAAATGTCAAATTCTAATCTAAATTGTTTTTCATCGAAGACAGGGGCTTGCATAGTCATATGAAAAGKTAAACTTGACTTTTAGAGCGACACTACAACCACCAACAATGCATTTTGCTTGGAATACAAGAATTTCAACATTTTCTGCTATTTATAGCTATTTTCTGCTATTTGTAGCTATTTACTTATAGGTCCTTGCATATGACGTAAGATCAGCTTCATCTGGGGGACAAAACAAAATATCATTGCCCTCTTGGGAACTAGAATCCATTGTTTTGTCCTCCAGTTGATGCATTCCCATGAAACTCGATGAGTCTATACTTATTCTCTGTTTTTTTCTTATACTTTTTAGGCGGCATAATGGCTGATATGGCTTCCACGCACGGATGATGATTAGCAATCCTGATAATTATGGATGCTTATGTCAATAAGGATGATAATGAATACTTACTGAAAATTTGAATCTTATACATGTAATAAAATTCAAACATTCTGTAACTATACAAAATCTACTTTGTTATTTTGTAGTTATGATCAGTTATGAATGAAATGAGTACCAAGATCAACTTGGTCGGAACCTTTTCTTTTTTAGTTTTTCTCTTCTTTTCTTTTTAAAAACCTTTAGTCAAACTTAGTCAGGAAAGCCACAAACCTATAGATCCTCAATTGCGTAGGCAAATGTCGCGTGTGCTGGCTTTGACTTGTTTGATTTGTAAGACATCTAGAAAAGAAGTCAAAGCAATTATGTCATTTTTTCGATCTTTGTATTGTTTTTACAGTCGAACCTCTATAAACCTCGTGGCAGGTGAGAGAACAACACATTTTCAAGAACGCTCGAAGATAAAATCCGTATCTCCGCGCGCCCATGTAATATCCTCTCTCTATATATATATTATCAAGAGCAGTCAAGAAATCGAATTCTTTACCTAACCGCAGGTTAAGGTGTTGTATACTTCTTCGCAACTTCGCACACAGTACGTT